TTGCTTTCATTTTCCTTGCTAAGATTCACAGAAGAGACACCAGTGTATTTTCATTTGCCTCCCAACTGAGCAGACTGCCAGTTGAATACAGAGATGGCTGTTATAAGGGCAAATTTGTTTATGCCACTTCTGAAATAAGCAAAGTCTTGTATGCTTTTCCTTCTCTTGCTCTACGTAGCATTTGGGTCTGGAGCAGAAGGGCAGGAGGTGCACTTTCACAGTCCCCTTCCATACAGGGCAAAGTGCCAAGAAGCTCACTTACGCAGGAGCCACATGTGATCATCCTGCTGCACACTTCTGCATAGAACCTTAATGTTGGGTCACTTTCATGTGCTGTAAAAATCTCATGTGATTTGGTCAAGGTCACTCTGCAGGCCAGGAGCTGTCAGGAATAAAAGAAGTGAATGCTGCTGCTGTAGACCACAGCAAAATGTGCAGACAAGGAGAGACCTTCCTGCGACTTCAGCATGCATCGTTTGGACCCAGTTTGCCTTCCCAGCTCCCTCAGAGCTCTAGAATAGTCTTTGTGATTATTCGTGGTAACATTTTCTCATCCTAAACTGCTAATTGTCTCCCTGTGACCTGACAAGTGTGTTGCTATCAACCATTAATATCAGGCAGCAGAATAGCTCTCTTCATAGCATCTCTCTCAAACCATATTAAAGATATTTTTTAAAAAAAGAAATATTGCTAGTACAAACTTCTTAAAATAAGCTGGGCTTGGCACAGGAATTACTGATGAATGAAATTTTTTTTTTTTGGGGCGGGGGGAGTGAATAGTTGAAGTCTGTTTTCATTTTAATGGAAACTTTTTTTGTCAGGCCGCCAGTTTAAACTACGGTTAGCAAAACAAGCCTAAAAATAGTGAAGGTGTAGTACAGCTAAGAAATTGTGAAAGCATTGAGGAAGCTAAAGCTAAATACCATTTTATGGCCCTGGTTGAGCACTTTGTATTTAATTTTAGACATAAATATCTGTAAAATGAATAATAAAACACAAGCCAAAAGCTCAGTGGTCTGTTGGACGTGGTTAGATAACTGACTGTATGTCAGGTAAATACAGATCTAAATATTGACCTCGTAAAGAATTGGCTTTAACTTTTAAAAATCTCTTATTTTGGCTTTAAATTGTTAAAAACCCAATCTGTCTAGAGATTGAAAAGGGTGAATTCTATCAGGAGGACAAACTTGTAAATATCCAGCTGAACTACCATGAGGCCTTACAATTAGATACATTTAAAGACAAGTGAGAAGATTATTTTACTTCAGAAGAGAAAATAACTAAATCTAAGCTCCTGAAAGATTCTAGCACTGCGTGCTTAAGATGTTTGTTTTCTGCACATGGCAAGCACAGTAAAATATTATGTACTATGGGACACTTTCAGTTGTGGCTTCTCACTTCCATTAGGTTATACAGCATTTGAAAGTTCAGCTTTCAGAATTTTAATGAAGAATACTGTCTTTTAGTGCTGAATGAGGATTTAAAAAACCAAAAAAAAAAAAACAAAAAAAAAAACCCAAACCAACAAAACAGGGAGGATGTAGCTTAGAGGAATGGTGTGGCTAGTCCATGTGAACTACAGATTAAGGATGTTTTTGGACACTGCTTGTTGATTCAGGGATTGTTTTTTATGTGGCAGGAAAAAACCTTCTGACAAGGTTTCTCAAGGTTACAGCTAATTATTCCATATTTATTAATTTTTGTTTAGGACAAAAGTATTTAGGTCACATTATTTTGTGGGAATGTATTTTAGGAATGTGGACTTCATAAGGAAAATAATGAAATCTGAAAATTAAAAAATCTGAGATACATTACAGTAGGTTTTTAAAGGTCTTTTGCCTTCTTCAGACTGATATGAAGCCTAGAGCCAGTGGACTGTAAGAGAGCTCAGTTTAGACACTTTCTGACTGAAGACAAATCGGGAGAATATGCCATGAATGCAGGATAGCCAGGGTGTGATGTGCTGTGGGACCTTTAGGAGAAGCTAAGAAAAGAAAATGTGAATGTATTGTCAGAGAAGTAAAGGTCTTTATAATTTGCAGTGACAATTTAAGTCTCTCAATATGAGACTTTGTGGTCAGTACAGTAAATACTATTCATTTTGTAGACGAGAATATGTGTTTGAGGTTGCATGGCCAGTTACCAGAAGTCCAAGAGAAGGCTGACATGTACAAGTGAGACTGAACTTTTAACCTTTCTGAACAAGTGATCCCTATGAACTGCAGCATGCACACTGAGATAGGGCAAAAGCTGCCTTATCTCTTCAGCTAATTCTCTATTTATATTGTCTTCCTCTTCCTTATTGCTTCTACAGACTGTGGGATATACCTACTTATTATTGCTTTATCTCTAGTGACTCCTGTTTTCTCACATAATTTCAAGTAAGCTCAATTAGCAGGAGAATGAGAATAGTCATGAGAATGAGGAAGTTTGAGTGCTGAAATTCTCGGAAACCTAAAGAATATGTTTTGGGAAATCTCCCAAGGTCCAGGAAAAGATAGCTGAAGCAGTGCATGGCTCTAGTAACTGTATTTAAAAAACTGCTCAGCTTGAAATTTTTTACTTTCTACACACTCGAGGCAGTCTTTCTTCAATTCTTTAGAAATTTTTGTTTCCATGAGTATGCACAGGTATTTTCTTTTCCTGTGGAAATGTTGAAAGTCAGTTTTAAGATAAGGATCAGGCCTGAAGCCAAGTATATCTCCATATTCTGGATACTTACTAAGTTGACAGTATTTAAACCAGACCTTGGAAGCAGTCTTTTTTTTTTTTTTCCCCTTGTTGTAAGCCTACAGTGAAGTTGGTAAAGTGGGGCTGAAAACTTCACAGCTTTCATTGCGTAGCATCTGCAAGTTGGAAGAGGACCAGTTCTGGAAATGTGTAATCCTGGCACGAGTTTAAAACTTCATCTTTGAAGGATGCTTCCAAGGAAAGGGAAGGGAACTTGGCTCTGAGATCACTGAGTTCTTTATTTGTTTTTTTTTTTTTTTTTTTTTTGTTGAAGCTGGTGAAAAGTAAATATCAGAAGTTACGAGCACTGTTTCACATGCAGATGGCATCAATGTTAGCTGTCTTCTAAAAGTTTGTATCTGCTAATACTGAGAAGCTGATATTCATCTCTTGCTTGTCTCAAGCCACCATTTCAAGGACTATTAAATAACACTAGTGGTTAGCAGAAATAGCTTTAAAAGCTTTCTTTGAATGAAACAGGTTTTCATGTGGAATCTAAGTTTTATACAGTTGTATATGTCGTAAAACTAAGACTCCAGTAATTTACTTGTTGAGGGCTCTGATTAAATCCTTGTTATTTACTTTGTAGATGAACACAAACCAGTCCAATCTTTCTTAAAGCCGAAAATTATTTTACTGAATCATAGAATCATTAAGGTTGGAAAAGACCTCCAAGATTATCAAGTCCAACCAGCAAGCCAACACTACCATGACCATGTCCACACTTTCTCTGAACACCTCCAGGGATGGTGACTCCACCGCCTCCCTGGACAGTCTATTCCAATGTTTCACCACTCTTTCAGTAAAGAAAGTCTTCCTAATATCCAATCTAAATCTCCCCTGGCTATTTGGGGAGCTATCAAGCAAAGAATAATCAAATTACTTTCTCCCAGGAGAAAGCAGGGGGTAGGGCAGGGCAACCAGCCAAGCTGATTATTTCCTTTGATAAATTTCTTCCAGCTCAGCCTCTAGTGGCTCTGCAGCTTATGTTCTGCCTCTTCTTGGTAATTTTCATCAGTACTGAAATCTAAATTCTTTATTCTGAAATGCTTTGAATCCAGAATGAATAATGGGACTTGCCAAAGCTGAGGGTCCTCAGTCTGTGGTATAACTGGATTAGGTGACCTCTTTTAGTTTGGTTCTGGTGATGCTCCTTCCTGAGAGGTGCCTTGGGAACATGCTGTATTCTGGCTGAATTGCATTTCTCTATCATGTACAAGGCATACCCATTCTCTACCTATTTCCCCAGGTGACAGGAAGGCTTTGAAAGCCTAGAAGATGATATCTAGGACTGGGCTACTGCTTCCAGAGCACTCACTCTTCAACTCAGTGGTGTCTGAAGAGCTCCTTGTAAAGGTGGCAACTATGATGGAGTGCATTGCCCCTGTGGCAGCGGCTTACTCCTAGCTGCTGTTTTTCCTGAATAGAGGCATCTTTTACAGATGTGTCTCTTTATTTTACCTGGTTTCTGAGATAGGAAAGGGACCAAGTGTATGTCCATCTTCTGCCGAGGAGGAACTTGGTGATTTAACTGACCAGAAAAACCTGCATATTCCTGAACTGTTAATCTTTAGAAGTAATTTATAGACATTTGTGATAACGACAGGTGGAAGGGCTTGCAGTAATCTGAATTTAATAACATTTTATGAGCACTTTATCAGCTGTACACTGAGAAAAGTCTTCTAGTGAAGAAGACATTTAATTGAAAACACTTCTGTCATCCATTTGATGTGGTTTCATGCAGCAGAACATGCAACAATTATCATTCTAGAGCAAGAAGTCAGCAAAATAAAAGCTGGATTGAGACATCTAACTTACTTTTGAGTAGCACATGCAATCATTCCTTGAGATGTTGAAATTACTTTTCTTGCCATGGATGAGAACCAACACTGCTGAATTAGCATAGAAGAGGAATTACCAGATATAAAATAAAAACAATTTGCAGTGGCAAATATAGGAATTTAAAGTTCTTTAGGTTGCTGGAAATATATCTATACTTGAGATAAAACTCAAAACAAAACTGACTATTCTGAGATCAAGCGATCACCTAACATATGCATGATAAATTACATTACATAAACATTTTGCATATTACAGATATCTAGGTGACTTAGCAAATCTCTTCTGGAAAGTATTTCCAAAAGAGGTAGCTTCACTGATGCTCTAGTGATTTAGATCCAGTAAGATAATTATTAGTAAAATATTAATTTCATAATTTTGCTCAGTGTTGAGTCTTATTGCTAATGTGTGTATACTTTTAATTATTCTAGGAAATCTATCAGTGGTGTGGCTCATCATGCAATAAATATGAGCGGCTGAAGGCGACTCAAGTGGCTCTTGGCATTCGGGATAATGAACGAAACGGAAGGTCTAAATTAATTACTGTGGAAGAAGGGAGTGAGCCTGATCAGCTCATAGAGGTAGGTAACGTGTACCTTTTATTGACATAACTGCAAATAAAATGTTTTGGTTTTTTTTATCTCAAGAACAAAATAGGATTGGGCTCAAACCTTATGTTCTTCAAGGACTCCAGGATTTCAGAGTTAGGTTATGACAGACCAATTTGTACTTCTTTTCCTTCCTTATCCAAGCAGTGTTAAGTTTATTGGGCAGAAGAGTGTAAGATAATCATCTGAGAATACTTTTTCAATAACTAAATGTTTACATTTCTGAATGAGCCATAGGGTGACTGAATTAACATTCCTGAACCATACTGTCTGCTGCTCTGTACGAGGAAAGAGCAGCATCAAGGAGGGACAGCATTAAAAGAGAGGAAGTATTTACAATCATGCTGTATAGGATGGCAAGAAATGTAGGAAATTGTGTGGAGATGCATGGGGCCAAGCACAATGCTTTGCATCACCACTTCTGCTACAAAATCTTATGCACTTAGCCTCTAGTAACCCTAGTAAGCCCCTTCCTCATATATTTAGAAAGTTTAACCATTTATTCAAAAAACAGAATTCAGATTTTAGAACTTTAGAACTGAGCTGCTTAGAGTGTAAAAAAAAAATATTCCAAATTTGTGGAATTTTTAGATCTTGAAAAAAAAATCGAGCACGGAGTTGTAAGAGACCACATACTAATAGAAGTGTTGTCACTTGGTGTTTGTGTGCTAAATTTAACTTCTCTGAGTCATTCTCTAAAAAGGAGGAGGAAGGAAGCAAGGTTGTAAAGCAGTGCTTCAATAAAACTGAAAATGACCCATCATAGTGTTAACTTGTACTTCAGATTAACTTCAGGAAGTAATGCTAATGGTGCACGTGGGTATGCCATTATTTTTAATGGTGCTTACATTTGGTTTTGTCACACAGAGTATGACTAGTTACTGCCTAAGCAACAAAACGTGCCAGGTACTGAGCCACCAGCCCTTGGCTGTGCTAGCTGTGGTGTTGTCTCTGGATGGTCTATCCATCTGCTTGCAAAGACTTTTTGCTTGTGGGCATGATTACATATGTGGCTGTGCTCAGAAGTATGGGAGGTAGCACCTAGCGCACCAAAGGGTTTTTGAAGGAAAAAACCCCAGTCCTCTTTCTGGCTTTTTACATTCTTGCGCAGACTTGTCACACCAGCTCTGATGTGGCATGCGTTTTACACCAATCACTTTAGTGAAAAAGAGCACAGGTCGACAATTAGTGCCCAGCCTCGTGCTCCTTATTTGAAGCATGGTGTTGCGTTGAAGCCAGCTGTGGGCAGTGGCTGGGTGGCACTGTGGGAACATGCTGGCACTGGCTGCTGGCAGCAGCCTCCTACTGCCAGGCCCATCCTGGGGTTACGGCTTGAGGCTCTGCACAGGGTTTCCAGTAAGCTCCAGTGTGAACTGGGAAGCACTGATAGGAACAGCTGCACTTTGAATCTCTTATCTGACTAAGGTGCAGATGCAAAGACAGACTCCTGTGCCACCACAGCAAGGACACGGGCCCTTAGCAGGTTCTAAGTGGCAGGAATATGTTGGCCTTGCCCCTGCATCCGTTTGCCAGACTTTTTCAGCTGTGTGCAACTTGTTTTGTCAAGTTGACCTTGACAGATAATTAAGAGCAGGAAAAATGCCAAGTTTGCATGTTGATCCTGAAGCACATTGTTACTGTATCAGGGAATAAATCTGTTCTTCAGTTGCTCGGTGGTGTACAGAGAAGTTTCTGCTTTTCCTTTTGGATTGTCAATAGAGAAGAAAAATTGGTAGTTGGAAGCGAGTAGATTCATGGCTTTTATCACCACCAATGTAACGAACCTCGTTTGAGTGAGTTTATCAGCAGCCAGGGCTTATCTTCTAGCTTGCATCATGCTGAGTAGTCTTGCTTTTGGAAGTACTGCTCAGTTCTGGCTGTCCCAGTCCAAGCTCTGCAATGTGCTGCTAATAAACCAGGAGGGTAGTTAACCTCAAAACCACAGAAAAACAGTTAATCCCTAATCCTGCTCAAATTGTATCCAGTTTCTGATACTCTTCATTTTGATTTTTCCTTGCACCCATAAAACTGCCTCTTAACTTGCTATAGCATTTGACTGCTGTGAAACTAGCTTCTTCCCTCCACGTCAGGAAGATGGATTTTTGCCATCTCCAGCTTCCTTAGAAAAAGGTTGCTTTATTTTCTAGGGTAAAGAATTATGTACTTTAAATGCTCATTTTTTTCTCCCATATGCCACTGAAATCAGAATGAGATTTTCTAAAATTATCTTCTGATAAATGTCAGTATTAATTCTTGTTCCTGTGAGCTAGAAATCTGCTTCTGTATCAGTGGACAAACTTGCTTGTGCAGCACTGCTAGAGAAGTGTTCACCAGGCCGGGGCTGACGTATCTGCCGTGAGTATCAATGTAAAGAGCCAATAGTGATTTTATCCCTATGCCATAAGCGGAGTCCTGACTCCCAGCCAGTGGAGCAAGACTGCCGTGCCTATGCCTCACCTTGGAAGGAAGACATAGGCTGATTCAACAACGAGGTCATCTGTGCATGATGTGCACATGCGTGCACAGGTCATCTCTTAAGATACCATAGGTATCACTAGTACTTTTTGATTGCAAAGACAAGACAAACTTTCTGTGCAAGCACATTAGAAGTCTTTAATCTATGTGGTTTCACTTCCATGTTTGCACTTTAGGTGAGGTACTGACTGGCATGTTTAAATAAGCAGTGCTGTGTAGGGATGCTGCTTTGGAAATTTGAAAAATAAACTGACCACCTTGGACAAATTGCTGCTTTTGCTGCTCAGTAGCTGGTCTCCACAGTCACAGCTGCCCATAGTAAAATCCATCAGATGGCAACTCTGCCCTGCTTTTCACAAGTAAATATCTGAATAGGGTTACTTATTTTGACCAGTCTTATGTCTGAATGTTCAAACTCTTTTACGGGAATTTTTCCATTGCATGGGACCAATCCAAAAATAGGTCTTAGCCAGTCTTGAGTCAGTCTGGCTGCTCGAGAGCGACCATGTTAGAGTCAGAGGTAACAAGAGGGTTTTTTGGTTGGTTGGTTTGGTTTGGTTTGGTTTGGTTTGGTTTGGTGTGCGTGTGTGTTTTGTTTTTGTTTTTGTTTTCTTTAACCAAAAGGAACACTAAATATATGGTTTCAAAGTTGACTTAGGGCCAAAATCTTCTAGAGTCAGTTGCTAACCCTGTTGGAAGCCCTCTTGGTCTGAGTGCACTGACACTGATGCTTGTCCTTCTGATGGCTTGCACGTTGGTAAGTAGAGATCTCACAGCACTGCATTTGTGTACCCAAGAGATCACTGAGGTCTGAGAGCGCAGCCACAGTAACAGGTAGCTGTGCTCAGGACAGACAGTTTTCTAACTGTAGTTAGGATCTCTGCTCTAGTTCTGAAGAGAGGACAAAACTGGGGAAGTGATATTTTGAAAATAGTTTCCTATGATCTGATAATTTAGCATTATGCGAAATGGTGAGTAAGATGAGTGAATGGCTGAGGTACCCTGTTTTCTTTCTCCAGTGAAATCATTGTCCACTGTTTGGTTAGTGAATGTGTGAGCTGTGCTTGTGTTTTCAGAGTAATGGCAAAGTGGAGAAATGTGGATTTGGCAATGTCTGTATTTGTGACATTTTCTACTCAGTCAGAAAGCTGAAGCTGCTTGCAGTAATGCAGGAAACAGAAATACTGTTCAAATGCAGCTTGTGGCAGCATGTGATTGCTGCAGTTTTTACTGCTGAGGCTTTTGGCCTTTGTTTCATTTTTATAAAGGTTTTTGATGTTCATGGCTGAAATAATGAAACATGAGAAATGTGACTGATGAGGTCTAAAGTCAGAAGAAAATGAAGGATCACATTAGGATGCATCTTTGAAATCACTCTTCTGCCTTTAAACAAAAAATGCCATGACTTGTTTACTCAGCATTCGCAGTTGTCGTGTGCCTGGTTTTGTAAAAGTTCTAGTGGCCTTACAACAGGTGGGTGCAAACTCACTTCTTATAAAATACTTGTGTAAACATACAGCTAGATTACATATTGAGCAACAGAGGAAAGCTCTTTGTCCTTTCTGATAACCACAGCCTTTCTCCTCCCTCCTTTTTCTTTAAAGCTGCAAAACAATGTTTAATCCTGAGAATTCCTGAATGCTATTGTGCTCAGTGATGATTGTTTTTGCCTACAGTGTGAATAAATACTATGCATGGAGGTACGGGGATATTTCGATCGTATTACATTCAGTCACACCTTCCCACATCTGTACCTGGAAAGGGATTGGTAGCACTACATAGTGCTAACTCAATCACGCGGATAAAATCTCAAGAGCACAGAAAAATAAGAAGATCCTGTTGCAAATGCAAGTTACAGAGACTGCTTCTCTAGAGACCCAAACAATGCAAACATCACCACAATGTCAAGCTCCAGTAAACCTTAAATTAGCTGGATAGATGTCTGTACATATGGACAGATGAGCAGGACCACCCGCTCCCTCCCTGTTAAATTCAAGCTCCTAAAAATTACTTGCTGCAAACAAAGATAATTTCCAAGGGTACTACAGAGCATGGTGAGGTAGTTGGGAAAAACTAAGGCTTGCTGTGACTTGTAACGAATATAAGTGGGTTTTACAGTGCCCAGGCATGCTTCTCTGAAGGAGCTAGGCAGGTTCTTGCAGTCTCTGGTCCTGTCACAGGGATCATTGCATAATGCTTAAAGAGCAGTGTGTGCCCCACTGTTTTGGTACCTGCTCCTTTCCCAGAGTCAGTAAGATTTAAGTCAGTAAGGATCTGCCACCACAACTCTGCAAAAGGAAAACCTGCTATTGCTGCTCTTATAACATTTGAATTTCTTGTAGTTCCCTTGCTTTTGGTCACATTATGAGGCCAAGTCATGCTAAGGAGAGGTTTGCTTTGTGTACAAAGGAGTGAAGGAACAGTGGGAGTGAGGGTGTTGCAGGAGAGGAGGGAGGAAAGTTAACTTCTTTTGAAAATACCAACTCCAGGTGTTTATT